GTATCAGACTCGGGACGATAGGAACGATGAGTTCTAACAATATGTTGGATCCCCAAGCATTAAGAATAAATCCACGTTTCAGGAAAAGCAAGGTTTATTTCAAAGCGTTGGAAAGACACTCAAACACGTTCTTTGTTAGAACTGGCTACAAACTGTAAAGCCAACCATAATAAAGGGATTCAAAACAGGTACAGGACCAATGGGTCATTTTCCCGCTGGCGGGCGAGAGGAAACGGTTGCGCGCTCTTTTCCTGAGAACCCAGTTAATCTCTAGACATAATACAATTGCAGTTCCCACCATCTAAAAGCAACAAGCCGGCTATGAAGCGAACTCCCACAAGACGACCTCCAGTTGTTTGGCTTAAGCGTTTCAGCAGAGTACAATAACAGCACACGGGAAGGAGGGAGGGGGGAGGGAACAACGGTACCGAAGTACCAGGAACACAGAACACCATGGCAGCTAGCTGACACACAGATCCTTATAATGGGCCTAGCTTTACTTAAAATATCTATATATCATACATTTTAAGTAATGTTTTTGGCTAGAGGGTTTTGCAGGAGAAAGAAGGAAAACTGGTCCCTTCTGGTGCACGTGTGCATACAAATAACAAAAAATAGGGGCAGATGGAATGTATGGACAGTGGTTCATTCTGGGCTGGATCCAGTCTGCTTTTTCTCCCAGTCTCACCTAAATCCTTTCCTTACTACGGCTCCGTCCTGACCCACATCCACCTCCCATGACAGAGGCTTTTTGGTTCTGAAAGAGGACCCTCTTCTCTCTTTCCCATCAACAGAAAAAGTTGTTGGAGCCAACTCTTTGTGTTCTTTTCTGCTTTGGCTTAGTTCCACGTTTTTGCTTTGCTTGAAAAAGTTTGGAAGAAAAAGGGAGAGTGAGAGACTGAATGCGTGCACAAACTCCACATAAATAAATAAAGTGAAAATGCCAATAAAGAATTGGACAAAGGCTCAGGAGAATCTTTTAATGAGAAAAACAGAGAAAGAAAAACAAACAAGAAAGGGAATTGCTGCAGTAAATATGAGGAAGACCAAGCTTTCTTGCTGAAATGCCTGCAGTCCCATGAGCCAGCTGGTGGGCACCGCCTTCTGTATCCAAATCTTTTGGCAAGCCAGAAGCTGTGCGGATGGAGAGGCTCGTTTTAAATGTAGGGTTATCTGTTTTTGGCTTTAGCCATGGTTTTTTAATTGGCGGGGGGGTCATCTTCCTTTTGGGTGAATGCAGTAGTTAGCCCCTTATAACTGTCTGATACTAACAGCACATAACAACATAAGGTTAGTAAGAGGGTCTCTCAGTCTAAACCTTTGCTACAAAATCAAGCACACAATCCATGTAAAACGTTTTTTGGCTGGTCCTAATAAAAGGTATTGAGTGGATTCTGTTCTTGTTTTTAAATTCTGATTTTGGACCAACAGAGCTACAAACTTATTTCAACCTTTGCTACACCATCAATATATATAATTCTTAATATGGCCCCATTTGCGAATAACTCAATCCAGAGATTGAGGCAATGAACAGACTACAGATTTCCCCTGGGAAAAGCCCCATGTTTGCAGAAAATCTGAAATCTTGGGGGGAAATGTATTGGGGGTTAAAAACCCAAAATTATAGAAGCATCTATAGTTTTAAGAAAAAATGCCTTAAGTGACCACTGCTAGGTCACTTATAGAGCAGGAGCACGGAACACAGGACTTGCAACTGTTGGACGGGTTGGTCCAGCAAGGCTGTCCTCCCAGGCTGCCTCAGCCTAAACAGTGGAGAAGTAACTGACCTCAGTTGTACTGTAAGCACTTGATGGAGCTGCTGAGAACGCACTATTGTTTGGCCATGATCCTGCAAAGACGTATCACCTTAAGTGCTGTTTCTTCAGTTAGGTGGCATGCAGCCAGTCTGGTCCTTCACCTCTGCTGTGCCACCTTGGCCCGGGTCTGCCACCACCACCATTTCTGCAGAGTGGGAGAGAGAGTCCAGGGAAGTTACAGGCCTGAATTCAAGCCCTACCCATGGGAGGCTTGGTGGCTATCACCTGAGCAGGTGGCAAGGTTTCCTTTATGAGCTCTGGAAGGGTGGGTTTCCAACAGGTAGCTTGCCAACTGCTGCAAAGTAGGTTATGCATCTCTTAGAAGCCCCGGGAAAAGACTGGAAAAAGATCTGCTCTATGTCTGTTTTTTTAAGCTTTTATTTAATAAGATTTCCCCCCCAGTGCTGCATAGCTGATATTTTTAGTGCTGTTCCTAGTCCATGTCCGCTCTGACATTGTACAGGAGAGGATGCCGTATATAAACGTAATAAATGAATGAATGAATGAATCTTCAAAACAAAATTTGGTAACATGCAGGGGGGGTCATTATATTTGTCCTTTATTCAGAAGTAGCTCATCCTGAGACATCAAAGTCAACACTGCTAGATCTGCAGGCTAAATGCTTCTGAGCTTGCCCCTCTCTATGAAAGCAATTCATTTAAAAGTAAATTTGATGTAAGGAGATGGTACCTCTCAGCCTGTGCAGAGTGCTTTGGGCCTCTGACAGGAAACAGCTTGTGGGTGAGCGCAAACAATGTCTGCATCTGGATAATGCAATTTTTTTTAAAAAAAAAGCTTTATAGAGAGTAAAGGAATCACAATAGCCACCCCAGATTTTTGTCCTGGACTTACAGTCTTTGTTCTGACAACTGGCCAAAATGTGGGAAGCACTGCCACTTGACAACTCTCATCCAGGCACAAGATCTCTTATATCTGCAGCGCTTAATGTTTATCTAAAGGGGCTAAACTTTCCCGGAAATAGGCACGGGATGCTTTTCCCTCGGATTCCAAAAACTGCATTCCGAATTTAGGTTTGCCAACCTCCTGGTGTTGGCTGAAGATCTCCATGCAACAAAGATCGGTTCACCTTAGGAAGATGGACTCTATGGCGTCATACCTCATTGAAGCCACCCCCACCCCCCCCAACCCGACCCTCACCCTCCTCACGCTCCATCCTCCCACCAAAATCTCCAGGTATTTCCCAACCTGGAACTGGCAACCCTAATTCCTCTACTTATTTGTGGGGATTGTGCATATCACATTCAGACACTCATTTGGGCCGTCTCTCTCTCTCTCTCTCTTTGTAATGACTGTGTCTTTTCCACTTTCTTTCTATAATGAGCTTGGTCGCTGGCAACAAATTCCGGGGCTCGACTCAAGTGAGACTCCCTGTAGGCCCCTTCTTCAGACACGCCTCCCCGGACGTCCTTTCCCAGAGCGCCAGCCCTTCCCCTCCCTTCCCTTCCCCGCCTCAAAAACTCTTTCCCTGGGCAGCACCGCCCTCTCTGCTCCGTGGAGAAATAAAGGAACAACGCTCAGCTCCCGAGGGATAAATAGTCGTGTTTAGGGCTTGTGGTGGGAGTGGTGGTCGTTTCTTACGTGTTCCCTTTCACGACAGCCATGCTGACGAAGCCCGACGCACCCGTGCCGACCTCCCCCTTGAAAGGGGGGCGTTCCCCTGCAGGTAAGCAGGTTCGTGGGGAGTCGGGAGCGCGGCGCTGGTACATTTGGGGTAGTAGCGTTTGAGCGTGACGTTGCTCTTTCCTCCGAAAAGGAGATGGCGCAGGCTGGGAGTGAAAGAACGTTATCCCCCCCCCCCTTGTGAGGCGCTGACTTTCTGTTTTCGTTTTCTGTCAGCCGTCCTGTGTCTAAAGAATACAAGTTCTGTAACGCTTTAGGGGGAAAGTTAAGACTTGAGGCTGAGGGAGTTCACCGGCGCCCTCTTTTTTCTGCCGCCACCCCCTTTCCGAATTGGCTGCCAGTGGGCTCTGTTTTCCCTCTTCTCTGCTCTTCTTTCACGCTTTAAATGCCTTTCGATGTGTGACGAGGCATTTCTGCAGGCGTACTAGAAATTGTGCACCCCTTCCAAATACATGCTCTCACTCAGTTACGTGTGTGTTGTTTATCACAGACTCCTGTGACGGGCTAGTTTTGGCAAAGCCCATTCCCGCCGCTAGAGCTCCTTCCTATTGGCAATTCCCCAAGAGCAATCGTAACAGGGCTCCTTTCTAACTTGGTAATGCTACCGGGTCTCCCCCCCCCCCCGGAAATAATCTTCTGGCTTCAAAAACATTAACATGTGGTTGTTCGTGTATTTGAGAAGCTGACCAGAAGTGAGAAAACACTAATTTATGAAAAGTTGCCAAGTGCTGTGGTTTAGTAGTTTTATGTCTACAGAATGGGCTGTTAAGTCAAGGTCATTAACTATAAAAATCCTAATTATCAATATGAGACATTGGGGGATTATCCAAAGCACAACATGGGAAAGTTTGTTCTGGCTAAAGGAGTACGCTCAGCTGTAACTCTGCAGATTGGGGAGGGGGGGCCTTGGAATGTATAAAATGCCTTTTTATCTTGGAGAGACTGAGATCGTCCTGTGCCAAAATATATGTTCACTTCTCAGGTGTTAATAAGGTGCGTGGGGGGAGGGAAACTCCACTATCAAATGCATGATGGATTTTCATCCGTATCTATTTCTGCTATGCCTGTTCTTCAAAAAAGCAAACACAGTTGTCTGGACTTGAATTCTTATTTATCCAAAATATTTTTCTCTTGCAAAGGAGGACTCAGAGTGACTTCACAGACCTGAAAACACAAACCCAGTACAATTTAGCTTCCAGCTTGATACGTCAAATCAAGAGAATCTGGTACTCATAGGTTTGCCTGTACAATTTAGCCTTACTGAGTCTCTGAAGGGTAAAGCACACAGCCCCAGGCAGTAGTTCCTTTTTAGAACTAACCAATCAGAGGTGGGGCTGATGAGAGGAGGGAAAGCTCAGGCCTTGGTGGAAGGTTCTCTCCTGACAAACGAACTGATTATATTTGTCAGCTGATGGGAGATTGATTTGGGTTTTAATCAATAGCTTAACTAATAGGAAACTATACTTACTTGGAAGTAGGTTCTACTGAAATTAGTGTGATTGACTTCCAAGTAAAGATAATTAGATTGGAGGAGCCCACAAGTGGGGGACCCAGAAAGGCTTGTGGCAGGCGTCTCCTTTTCCCCTCCCCCTAGTTGCACAGAGTTGGCTGCCAGACCAATTGCACAGCGCAGAACCCGCAAGGACTTGCAGGATGGCACCTCGTTCTCCTGTATTCCCCACCCCTCCACTGTTTCCTGCTTCCTCCTCCTGGCAACTTTTCCACACTTCCTTTTTCCTACCCACCTACCTACTTTTTATCTGCCCCCTCCCTTCTGAAGCTATATTTATTTATGTTACTTATACACTGCCTTTCTTCACAATGGCGATCCATTACAGCATTTGCCCCCACTCCATTTTGTCCTCAAACAACCTTGTAGGTTTGAGAATAGTTAAGTTACCCAAGGGCACCCAATGAACTTCCACAGCAGAATGGAGATTCAAACTCGGGTCTCCCAAATCTAGGGATAGCAGGCATCCTGATACAGCAAGAGGAAATGGGGCAGGGAAAGGAATGCGCAGATGCTTACATTTTACTGGAAGCGATACAGCAGACGCTGTAGCTTTGGCAAAAACACTATGGTGAAACTAGAGTTTTTACAAAATGACAGCGTCTGTTGTGTAATTTCCAATTTTTACCTGAAGTGATGCAACATGCTTAAGCATACTGGTGCAATGCTGGTATCCCAGACCCCAACCCTCCATTTTCTCCTGTGGGTTGCTGCCTCCAGCCTGGCAATACTATGTAGACCCTACTCTGAAACTATAACTGTTACACCACACTGCCTTTCATGGGGTGTCTCCTGTTGAACAGTCAAAGAGAATAGGGAACCCTTAGTGTTAAAGTTGTTTGTGGCTATCCTGTTTAACAGTGGCAAGCAGGTGGGCCTGGGAGAGTCACTCAAGTTAGGGAGGATGCAAGTCACCTGTGGCTGCTATCATGAGTCATACCTGAAAGGCTGAAACAGCCCTGGAAAGAACCCTCCCCCTTCCCCTTTGTTTTTACTGACAGAAACCAAGGCTTGAAGGCTTTGCAATACTGTTGTGGTTGCCTAGCAATGGCTACTGATGGCATTTGTTTTGTAATTGCTTCTGTTATTTTGGTGAGTTTAGCCCCTAATGTATTTTTTTATAGTTCAGGTTTTTCTTCAAACCTGGGGCTTTTCTGAGGTTTGTAGAAAGATCTGTACTGTTTGTCCATGGTTCTAGTCTCTGGATTTAAGTATCTCCAGATAAAGCCATGTTGAGAGTTAGATGTATATCCTATGAAAATTGTGAAAAGAAGATTGTGAGAACATACAGACAAAACTTTGCTCCACTTTGCAAGATTGTATCCAATATTTCATCAACTCTGAGGATGTAGTCTATTGTGGTTATACATGTTAAAATCCATTTCAAAATAAGCAAGTTCAAGGGCCATCAGTATTGTTGAAGTTGAGGCATATTGACACTGACTTCAGTGTTGCACTGTGAGTTTCAGATGCCAGCCAAGTTGGATAAGAAGAAATATCACACAGATTGCTTTATCATTGGATTTTTAAATCTAAAGCTGGTATATAGTAGTGGCTTCACTCAAAAACGCAATCTTTATTATCAAATTTTGCAGAGGGAGCAGAGTTGCTGGGTTATATAGCAGTGAGTAAATAATAACTGGCATTTATATAAAATTTTAAAATATTCAGAGCCCTCTGGTAACATTAATTTGCGGTAATCCATATAAAACAGGTCAATATCATCTCTGTATTTCAGAGAAGTGCGAACTAAGACAGAAGTGTCTGGGGATGGAATTGCACGTTGCATTTAGTTCTGTGATCCTTATACCAACATTATAGTGCTGTTACTGGGGCTTCAGTTTAATGGGGAAGACCAGTGGAGAAGGTAATTCACAGGGTGGTGGTTAGAGCACAGATCCAGGTTCCCAAAATTCTAAAGCTCACTCAGCACGCTTCATGGCACCTTGGACTCCACCTAGCCTCACTCACATTGTTGTTGTGGTGATAAAACGGAGGAGAGGAGAACTACATAAGCAGCTTTAAGTCCCACTTGGGGATAAAGGCCAGGTATAAATGAAGGCAATATATAAGTTTAATCTTTAAAAGTTTGATCTCTCTTGCTCTCCCCCTCCTCCACGCACTTCCCATTGCAGGCTCCGCAATATTTTTTTAAGTCTGTGAAAAAGATTTCAGAACTACATGTTGAATGTATTGCTACCCTCAGGTGATTGACATGCCATGGCGGAAACTAGGTTCAAACCAAGGATTTCTGAACTGCATTTTAGTAATTGCACTATACCAAAGGGGACATTGAAAAATAATTATTCATCATTAACATGCTTATGCCACTTTTATAGGTATGGGGAGCAGTTTCCAAAGGCACCAAACAATATCTAAAATTAGGGTTAAATCCTCACAGTTGAACAGTTAAGAACTGGATATACAAAAAAGTCCAATGGAACTTCAAATCAATCCTTCTGGGAAAGATCACATTTGGAACCTCACAAGAGATGTGGTTTTCTTTACAGACCTCTGATGGAAGAAGGTTGCTGAACTTAGAAGCAAAAATCCCGCCTTCCTGCTGATGCTGATGATACAGGGAACAAGACGTGTCCTGATTGTCAGTGGTCTTCACACATGTCCTTCCAAGAACACTAATGGAGTTTCTTACTCTCAGTTGCGCAGATTAATTTTAATCTTGATTAAAACCTTAGGTGACTAATTATACCATTAATAGATCAAAGCCAGAAAGAACTGCAGACTCTTGCGCAAGATGAATACTAAAGACAAGCTTTACATATTTGCAGTGCAATTCTAAACAAGGTTACACCCTTCTAAGCCCATCGAATTCAATGAAGGCTGAATGCCTAATGAAATCTGTATTCCATCTTTACTCATCTGCCCTGTACACCTAGAACTTTCTTCAAGAATAGTTATGTAGTACAGTATTAGCTCAAAAATCTTTGTTCTGTGAAACTTTTCCTTTAACCCTTTACAGTTCTTATCCCACTTAGTGTATATAAATTTCCACTTCAGGTGGCGTGTCTAGCATCGGCAGAGCCTGGTTTTTTTTCTATTGTGGCTCCAACTCTATGGAATGGGTTCCCTGAAGAGGTAAGAAGGGCCCCAGTTCCTGGAGATCTTCAAGAGGTGCTGCAAGGCCTGCCTGTTTGCTAGGGCTTTTGAGAGGGGTTGAATACCAGGCATCTTTTAAGGGGAGAGGGATTTGGGGCTTGTTATTTTAGCTGGAGAAGACTCTTGAGAGTCCCTTGGACTGCAAGGAGATCAAATTAGTCAATCCTAAAATAAATCAACCCTGACCGTTCCCTGGAAGGCCAGATAATGAAACTGAAGCTGAAATACTTTGGCCACCAAATGAGAAGGGAGCACTCACTGGAGAAGACCCTGATGCTGGGAAAGATTGAAGGTCAAAGAAGAAGGGGACAGAAGGGGACAGCAAAGGATGAGATGGTTAGACAGTGTCATGGATGCAACGGACATGAAATAAAGCAAACTCTGGAGGACGGCAGAAGACAGGAGGACCTGGCGGGATCTGGTCCATGGGGTTGCGAAGAGTTGGACTCGACTGTGTGACTGAACAACAACAAAAATTTTAGCTTTGGTTTCAGACTGGGGTGTTTTAACTATTGTTTTAACTATTGTTGTAAGCCACCTTGAACAAGAGGAAAGGCTGGTTATAAATTGTTTAATAAATAACTTGGGCTATTTCTGTACTTCTCGCTATAATTTTAAGAGAACGTATTGCCTTTGCACAGATTGAACCCAGTTGCAACTATGCTTTAAGTGAGGTAACATCACCCAAGCCCTGTTCCACCTCTTAGCCTGACACTTTAAAAATCTAGCAAAATTTTGGGCAGTTTTATCCGAAGTATTTTAACATGCTTTTAAAGCTGCGTCTGTTTGACATTGCTGAACACTTAAATTGTTGTTGCTAGGTCATTTGTACCTTAATTGGTGCTAATTGGTTTGTGACTGACAAGCATGTTAACAGGACCTAATTGACAGTTAATAGAATGCAAATGTATGATAGGATTTCTGCATCTTCAGAGAGACAATAAGGAGGACACTTTTATTCTGGACTACCTGTAGTAGATAAATTATGTGCAGAGTGCTCAAAACTGAAATTGTAACAACTTGAAGACATCACACAACAAAATGCTCATGGTATCCTTGAGTATCTCAGATTACTTTTTGTTGTATTTATATGCTTTTGTTTTTTATACTTGTAAAGCAGTTTCAGAATTGGAGTAAAAATCTATCAAGGCCCAGGATATTTCAAAGAGAACTAAACATTTTTTCCTAAACATCCCCCCCCCTATCTTTTGAATTCTTGACTAAGTAAGAAACTAAAGGCAGAGTTCATATTTTCATGCTAAAGTAACTTAAATTTTTTTGAATAAGCCTCAGCAAGATGATTTGTTATCACTTTCACTAATTCAGGCCTTCACACACACTATCAGGCTACTTGGAGGTTACTGTATCCCTGTGGAATGGTACCTGTATAAATATCACAGTTGCACAGGTTTTTCGTATTTGAAACATCCCCCCGATGATCAGTCCTGGCTATGTGGTTGTGAAGGTGGTCTGCACTACAGCCACATAATATAGTATCGCAGGTAAGTGGTTTTGAGAGATTATAAAGAAGAGTTTGCTTTTATGGATTGTAACACGCACATCCAGCATTAACCAGCCTGCAAAACAAAAAGATATGCAAGAGTCCGTGTTTGACTGCTTGAAAACTGTACCGTAAGATCTGATGTGCCCCAGAATATGTGGAAAGGGAAGTTCAAATGCTGCAAAGTAGAAGACTTGAGGATTATGCTCTATATTCCATCTGTCTTTCTGAGCATTTGACTATATCTCTCTTACATAACCAACGAAAGACCAGTTGCTTGTGAAATACCTTATCTTGTTTTCATATATATTTCCTATAGTCAAAGCTGGAGGTATGAGAGTTTCTAAGAAACTGGAGAATACAGCTGCTGAAAGGAATCCCAAAGTCCATGGGAGAGAAAGGACCAGGTATGTGGATTGTTGAGACTTGTATGTTTGTGTTAAGAGTTCAGTGAGAAAGCAGTCCTCCAAACGTGAACCATACAATCACTATACTACAATGGCAAGTAAATGAAAGTAAATGAGGAAAAGGTAACACAGTACCTTCAGTGCTAAAAAAAAGCATGCATTGGAAAGGTTTTTTTTAAAAAAAGCAGAACTCTGTAGAAAATGCAAGTCTGGCTATATACTTTCTTTGATCAGAAAGGCACTGTGGCTGTAGAAGTAACCAGAAGTTTAAGTTGTCCAGCAAGGTAAAATGCTATACTGTCACAGCCATTTTCCCAGTCTGCTCTCTGTTTGCCCTGTTGCCTCTGGTGTTCTGTTTATCTTGGCATTCTAACAACTGTTAGCACTGAGGTGTTCTGTCTCGCTGCCTGCGTAGTTTCACTTGTCCCTAGGCCCTGTGTGAGGCTTCAGAGCCAATGGAATTGATCCTTCACAAATTGGGTTGTGATCCTGTTACCAGTTTTGATTCCCACAGTAGCTAGAATCTTCCATGGCATCACAGCAGTTCAGCCACTGATAAGGTAGCTAACAAGCCTGGAGGGGAAAAAAATGTCCTCTCTCTTTAATAGAGGCTTGATGTGTAGAGATGGGCAACTGAAGCTCTTTGTGGCATGGAGTAAATAATATCACCTGGTAAAACACCCCATTTTAACCCTCTATTAAAGGGACAGGACAATTTCTTTGCGGGTGATCAGGAACCATAACCACAGACATGAGTTGTAGGGATTTAGAACTTTGAGGCAAAGCGCCAGATTATCCTGTAGTTGCCCCAGACTTTGGTCACTGACAGTGCAATCAATAGATACGTATACTCAGAATGAAGTTAAGCGTGCCTAGGATTGCAGACTTTGTAGCTTTTGTAGTTCATATCTTAGCAGGATAAGTATGTGGTAACTGGTCTTGCAGAGTGTTGTGGCAATGGTGGTGATAGCTGAGTAAAACATAAAGGGCAAAATCCTCAGGACAATGATATAAGGTTTTGCTCTTCTCAGAGAGGTACTGCCTAAGAAATTCAAAATAAATGTTATAACACTTCTTGGAAATCTTAAGCAGCTGCCCATAAGGGCAGCACTGAAAAATCTCATTTTTCTCCAAAACCACAAAAAATAAAATAAATATTGGGGGATTTGATTTAAATCAGCATATCTTTAAAGTTGTCTTGTTTAAATAATCTTTGGTCTCTGTATAAATTTGTAAGTTACGAAACTGCTGGTTATCCTGAGATAACTCTTGATTTTAGTCCTGATATGCTAACATCTTCAATAGGTGAAACAAAAGTTTGAGTCAGCCTCTTCTCCCAGAATAGGTAAGAACAGGTACCTTGTATAGTAATAATGAAGGCATAGAAGAGTCTCTATAAATGTGTCTTGGGCTTTTCCCCCATTTCAGCAACAAGTATGACAAAGGATGGTTTTTATCTATCCTGAAGTCAATGTAGGCCCCGTTCATACGAGGGGTTTTGGTCCGGGAGCGAGACAGAACGGGGGCGGATCAAACGGGCGCGATCCCACGGCAACATCTGGGAATCGTTGCCTGTCCGTCCCCAATCTGTCTCTTCCGCGCGAAAACCCGCTCTAAAAAGAACCACCTACCTGGGTGGTTCATGCGAAGTGGAGCGGCTCAAACCGGCTGTGGGATCGGCCGCGCGTCCTTGCAGCGGCACATCCCGGCCTCCGGCCCAAACTGTGCATGCTTGAGCATGCGCAGTTCGGTGGCCTCCCCCTTGCCTCCGACACTTCCTCCCCGGCATGTGATCGTGCCGGGGAGCAACAGCGCGCGGTGCACGGGATCCATGGGATCTCGCCCGCGCGTATCTTTTTTGATGCAGCTCTCTTTAGCCGCGCTTCGCCTCGTGTTTTCCCTGCCGTGTGGCAGGGGCCATTGTACTTGCAGAGAGTCTGAATTACCCAGTGGCTTTTCTTCTCACTTTTAACTTGTTGCAGTCATTGATTTTAGACATTGGCTTGGATCCCATGGTAAATCCTTTAACAGAAGGTGTTTCTACCAGCAGAACAGTAATGCCTTGCCTCCTGTTGCTGGCCAAAATATTCTCCAAAATAAAAATCCCCACCTCCAAATTTACTGTAGGATCAGATTGTGATGGGTGGGGTGGAGAATCCCTCACCTGGCTCCTCCTGTAACTTGTACCTTCGGTATGGTTGATCAGCAGAGTTCCCACTGTGACTTCCCTTGTACAGAACACTGATGAACACCAATGAATTGCACAATCAGAACTACAGTGCAGATTGGATGGGGGGAGCATTAGTTAGTAAACATGAAGGATCTCTTTATTCTGTTCTTTCTCTCTCTCTCTTTTTTTAATGACCAAACTCCTGGCTTAACCCTTTTCTTTCTCTTTCACAGTGCGGTTAGCATTGCAAAAATGCAAAGCATGAGTGTCTTGTTAGCAGATGCATTAGAGAAAGTAAGTACACATGAGTAGACTTAACACTTGATTATGAATCTGTTTGAACAATTCATGCATACACAGAAGAACTGTATCTGAACAGGTGCTAAAAGAAATGTGTTGAGTATGGTAGGAAATAACAACTTCCCCTTCATCCCCTCTTTTTTTTTGCCATGTGAGGAGAGGTATAAAGAAGCACTTAAAGCTGCCTTTAGCTTGAAAAGTATTGGAATGCTATTTTCATCCGATGCACAACATGCTGGAACATGACTTCTAATAATTCCAGTACTTCTCAAGCTGTGCTCTACATTTAAGATCTCCACAGGATGTTTCCTGTGTTCTCAATATGAATAAATAGGACTAATCCTTATTGGGGCTTCTGAAATACTGAAATGTTGCAACAGGATTTAATTTTGCTGCTCTGTTTCAGGCAGCAGATGCAGTTGCCCTGTTGAGCTAACTCCTACCCCCAGTCTTTGTCTTCTGCCTTTCTCATCTATACACAGCAATCACAGAAGGGAAAGAAGAATGTGGATTCCAGAGTGACTGTTTAAAACAGCTTGGTGGCTAATATTTCAGAAGCAGCTGCTGTGGGGTTGGCCGGAGGCACAATTTGCCCCTTTAGTAATAGGATAAATGGCTGACCTGAATTCGAGGGAGTTGCTGCTGCTTAAACTGAAGGTTCTGGCCATAAGGTTATGGATGTCTTCAAGGGGAGGTAGAGTGCATATTCTTCTGTTTCAGTCATCTCCATAATAAGCTTTTAGGCTTGGCCTACATATTCAACCAAGTAGTAGGGTTGCCAGATGGGTTGGACAAGCTGGCGGGGGACTTACTAGAAGGCTCCGGGAGAGGGGAGGGAAGAAGTGTGACATGCCTATGTCACCTCTGGGTGACGTAAGCACATGGAGGACATCGGGGGCGACACTCTGGTTTGTGGGAAAAACTCTATGGTAGAATTAGCTTCTAACCATAGAGTTTTGCCCCCAAAACAGAGTGTCGTCCCCCAACATCATTGATGTGCCTATGTCACTTTTGGGTGATGTAGAAGAAGAGGAGATTGGATTTATACCCTGCCCTTCACTCAGAGTCTCAGAGCAGCTTACAAACTCCTTTCCCTTCCCCTCCCCACAACAGACACCCTGTGAGGTAGGTGGGGCTGAGAGAGCTCTGACAGAAACTGCTCTTTTTCAAGAACAGCTGTGCCAGAACTATGGCTTGCCCAAGGTCATCCAGCAAGTGCAAGTGGAGGAGTGGGGAATCAAACCTGGTTCTCCCAGATTAGAGTCCGCACACTTAACCACTACACCATACTGGCTCTCATGTTTATTTCTGGTTTCTTCCCTCCCTGCAGGAGTAATTGGTGGGAGGGTAGAGAGGAGCACCTGAAACCAGGGGATCCCCTGCCCTACTGGGGGACCTGGCAACCAGTGTTCCCTCTAAGCTGAGTTACTGTGAGCTAGCTCACAGTTTTTTACCCTCCGGCTCACACGTTTTTGTCTTAGCTCAGGAAGGATGGCTCCAGAGCAAACCAGCTTATGGAGTAGCCAAATCACCTGCTCACAACTTTAATGCCAGTAGCTCACAAAGTAGAATTTTTGCTCACAGGACTCCAGAGCTTAGAGGGAGCATTGCTGGCAACTCTATCAAATGGTGCAATAAAAGCCCTGAGGCAGCTGAATGGACCACCTCAGATTTAAGGTGGTGGCATGTAACACCTTTCAGTCCTTAGTATAAAATCTCACTGCAGGAAGAAGTCATAGGTGATCTAGCACTGGGAGAGCCAATGTGGCATAGTTAATGGTCACCGTGGCAGACTTGGATCTCAGGTTTAAGTCCCCACTCTGCTATGGAAGCTTGCAGGTTGATCTTGAGCCAGTCATTTGTCCCTCAGTCTAACCTATCTCATGTTGTTGTTATGAGAAACAGTGTTGTACGCTGCTTTGGGTCCCCAGTGGGTACAAATAAACAGGCTCTTAGCTTGTGGCTTGCATCCAGTGTGTTGAATGAACCATCTGTTGAATCTCAGCAGACCCGAGACATATTGTCTGTTTGTCTTGGCTTACATTTTTCTTTTATTTATAAGCTGCTTTGTGACCCTTAAGGGTGAAAAGTGAGATACAAATATTCTAAATAAATTGGCTGCATGGATAGATCAGGCCTACACTGAGATCCCAGGCAACGTAGTTGTAGTTCAGCAAATTCACAGAATCTGTTTTATTGTTTGCAGTCTTCTCTTATAAAAGCATTTATGTTCTGGGCAAACTGTAATTTCTAAGCACTCAAACAGCAGTATGTTTGCTGGAGAAAGTGAAATCTTGTCCGTAGTCAAAATGGCCATTTTTATTCTGCAGAGATGCCTGGAATGCAGCCGTGTGGATAGCAAGGGTCATTCCTAAGGCATCAATAAGTGTGGTGCAACTTCTGTGCTACCCACTCTTGACTGCTATGTTTTGTCATGTCAACACTAGTGTTTGGCCTGCAAAGAGATGGCTTATAAGGGGGTTTGAGTGACTAATTCATTTAGAGTGTAGAGAGGTCCTTAGTTTGATTTCTGTGGTTTTGAGGCTCTACAAGGCTTATCATGGGAGAAAAGGCACAATTCACTGGAGAGGGATGTCCTGGAATGTTGTTTCTGTCATGGGTGAATTGCTGTCGACCTACAAGGAATACCCGCATAGGGTTTGCACTGTGGTCAGTCAGAAATGAGAAGGAGCACTGCTGCTAGAGCAGTCTGGAAGTGTGACGGGAGCAGGGGAATCAGTGGCTGCTGGCTCTAGAATCTGCTGCCAATAATGAGGTCACGTAGCACAGAAATAGGCAGTGTAGAGTCTGCGTCACAGCAAAGCATCCTTCCTTATCTTTTAAAGAGAGCTCAGACTATCGCCCTTTGAGCTAGGACTTGCAGAGTTGATGCCACCCAGGCTATGAGATGCGGTTGGGACACACATCGTGAGCTGCACATCTAGATAAGGTGTAAAAGGGCTGTGGTTAACACCATAGAATGGTGTGTTGTCCTGGGGGTGCTTCTGTGATGTATGAAGGGGGGCAGAGCAGTGCTTACGCACTGGAGGGTAAATCAGAATAGGAAGCATCCGAGCGTAGTAATATGAACTGTCTTGTGTGAGAGGACCAGGATAAGAAAAGGAGGACGTAACTGATGCTGCTGCCTTCCTTGGCTTATAGTTGCTGCATGTGGAGGCATTCAGTGTGATTAAACTATCTCCATTTTTAGTTTTGTTTGGGGGGACCCAGAATTTTAACATTCCGCACTTTATCTGTTCTTTCTCCCCCTCTCCTCATGGGTCCATTTATCTTATGATTAGCTTTTGAATTCCGGGGTTTTGAATGGAACTATTTTATTTAATGAATGCTACGAACAGCTTTAGATACACTATTGAAGAAGTCTAATAAAGATGTCTCTTGTGCCAGGTTGGATTTTAATGCTTATGATTTATAGTGGGGAGGGGTTTTGTTCTTGCTCGAAGAATTTTCCTTTTTTATCTTACAGCTCAGGCAGAAATTCCCAGCAGCAGCCACACAAGGAGCGCATCAAAAGCCACGGCCTACTCTGGAAAAGATTATACCGCCCAAAAGAATGTGCATTATTCAGCAGCCTCGGAAATGTTAAATATGTAGAGTAAAATATTCATATATCTGACAGACTTGCTCTTAACAAAACAGCACTTAGCTAAGCAAGCAGTAAATGGACCAAATGTCTTCTGCAGCTTCTAATTCGTATTTTTCAGGCAATAAAATCTGTGTACATTCTGCAATTTTTTTCTTTGTGTTTTTTTTTCCAAGAGGAGATTAATAAGACTTTCTCATGTAATTGTTCCCAAAGCCTCCTGGGTGTTGCAGCTTGGAATAGATGGGCCATTTCTTTGAGCAGTATTCTTAAGAGAGGCAAGGCGTGTCACACTTCTTATCAGTCACAAAGCCAGATGCAGTTCACCAGCTACGTGGCAGCTTGACTGGAAATTCATAACCTGCCTCCTTTTTAAGTACCGGACAGGCAGCAAAACCAGAAACTGCGTGGAGATACTGGTAGGATACATGTACCATGCCTGGAAGCATAAATGGCATTACATCTGAAAATGTGGGGGAAAGCAGGACAGTTACTAAACTTTCCTAATTCCTCTCTTTCTTAGCATCATTTGAAAAATATCAGCTTCTTCGTGATCATCAGTTTATCTATCTTGGTATAGGGTATCTTTTGCATGATCTGAACCAGTTCATAAGGCCCCTGGAGACATGTGGAGCTATGTGGAGATCCTCCCAGTATGCATGGTCACCATGTTGTGTGTAAAGGATAATGCATAGATTTTTTCAGCTTCAATACTGTGAACCAGAACTCTGAAAAATCAGGATTCAGTGTGATAGGTGAAGAGTAAAATCAAAGCACTGCCTCTTTCAGGAAAACACGGGAGCTATGCCTAGCAGGAGGATTGTGTTTGTACTGTTGGTCTTCATGGGTTGGCTGCTCCTCATACACCAGACCAGAATGTCTTGTATAGGCAGATACACGATATATCTGTGTGCTGGGGTTCACTCCTACCCAGGAAAATGATACCTTTTGACCTGAAGACACTTCCACTAATCACAGAGGGCAGTCAGTGGTTGCTTATTTGTGGAAAGGCAGTAGTATCTTAAATACGGGAAGAAGCTCGGCTTATAGTGTGCTCCATGTATAAATCTTTCTTAGTCCTATATGGTAATGCTGCATGGGTTTGCTGATTAATATACTGTAATTGGAATGTACTTGGCCACCTTAATCCTTGTCCTTTCCAGAAATCCATGGTAATGCTATGGCTGTGATTTTAGTGTTGACCTGTTAGAATGGTGGCTTTGAGTGTGTAAAGAAATGCCAGTTTCTCCTTTTTCTGCCAGTATTCAGTCCTTGGTAAATGCATATATTGCATTGTTCTGGACAGGTAGCAGTGATCATATGAGAAACCTGTCTCCTTTAAATTTAAAGAATTGCTGTCATGGCTTTAATGTAATTAGTTTAGTACATGAATTAATTTGCACAGGTCAGATCTCACAGACAGGTTTTTATGTTGGTCTGTATTTTCCTACTGGGAAGTTACATTCAGATGCTTTTTCCTGACAATTCCAAAACTGAACATTTTTATATATGGAATTTTATGTGTACTTAAGAGTAACACCATGAATAGGTAGAACTTGAGGAAGTCACAAGCATCTCCTGTTGGCTATTCACAGACAATCTTTATGGGGGAAATGCCAAAAGCCATGACTAATGTAAGGTAGTGTGAACCATAAAATCAATGGACTTTGCAAATTATTAGGCAATGAAAGTTAGCAAAAACCTTCAGCGGTTCATTTAAATAGATATGCAAGTCAATACACTACACTTGCTCACAAAATTCCAGAAGCCAGAATTCTTGTACTCTTCACAGGACTTGCTAGAATTTTCACAGTGAAACACTGAATCTTAAAATGCCCTTGCCTTCAGAGCTCGTCTCAACCTTACAATACTGTACCTCTTCATTTTATCAGTGCTCATCATGACTCTGACACTTCCAGTTTGATAACAGGCCAGCCACACGTCCCGTGCCTTAAACATTTTCTGACCATTTACCAGGGTCACTTGGTATGCTTTTCAGTACTCTGCAAGATACCTTTGTACTGTCATATTTCTGTCTGCATATTCATACCAAAATCTAACTTTTGCTACATTCTGTCAGTCAAACCTTATATAACTGAAATTGCTCACAGTTGTTTTTTGCCCTATATGTTTAGTAGAAGAATAGGCACAAGTTTATTTCTATATTCCATGTTATATATGAATATATTTCATTAAACCATTTTCTACGATGCTCTTTTTGCCTGACTCTTCAATTTTATGAAGTAAATCCATACAAAAGTTGGAAAAAATTCATTTTAAGGACTTGTTTGGTTTAAATATTTTTGGTATTATTTTTATTTGTAGGTTGCTTTGTCTCTGAAGAGGTGGCATAGAAATATCCTAAATCAGTTTTGCTTCACATTATACCAGTAAACTGTATGTAGCCTTGTATTTGGAGAGGCAGCATATAATTTCCTAAATAGGGTCTTTTGTGATGTTATGATTTTTTTAATTGTAAGCTACATCATCAATTACCAATGTAAAAAACCCCAAGCTGTTGCAAATTGTATTAAGGGTACTAACAAATTGTATTAACAATATTAACCACAATTGTTATAGCATAAGCTTTTGTTACATAAATCCAGGCTGATCACATTTTATTTAGTTCATTATATATTCTAAATTCTGAAAACTATGTCTGCACCAAATGCTTTCATCTCCAAAAAAAACCTCCCAAGCTTCTGCCAGATTATCCCTTCACATTGCAAAGGATCCTACAGCAATTTCTAGGATGCATATTCTGTTAATAAAAGATACTAAGAAACTGTGTCGTGCCTCATTCTATGGCACTTTGAATGCCCTAACATTTTGTATCTACACATTATAGGGGAACATCAGTAACAGAAGGACATACTGTCTGAAGTAAAAAAAGGTAGAGGTTCCCTTGCTCGAAAGCCAGTCGAATCCGACTCTAGGGTTGCGGTGCTCATCTCCGTTTCAAAGCTGAAGAGCCAGCGCTGTCTGAAGATGTTTCCGTGGTCATGTGGCTGGCATGACTAGACGCCGAGGCACACGGAACGCTGTTACCTTCCCACCGAAGTGGTACCTTTTTAACTACTTGCAATTTCTTGCTTTCCAACTGCTAGGTTGGCAGGAGCTGGAACTAGAGATGGGAGCTCACTCCATCATGCGGCACCCAGGTCTCGAACTGCTGAACTACTGACCTTCCACAGCCTGCAGTTCAGCGTCTTAACCACTTGAGCCACTGCAGCTCCACTGTCTGAAGTAATGGTCCACTATTCTTGATGGTCTCACGGAGGACAAGTTCCTGAGGACCAAGGTTGCACTGAATGCAATTTGAAAATCGTCTAATGAAATACTAATTTCCCAGTCCTCATTCAGCCATTCAGCCATGTATTGCTAACACTGAATCTTAACAGTAGTTATAACAGCTTGATTTTATCTGTGTAACTTAGCACCCGTTCTGCCTTTTCTTGGTAGGCCTTTAGAAACATAACTTGTTTTTGGCTTCACAATTTAATCTTCCACATCTCTTCCTAGTACCTGCATGTAAAAGAATAGTATTAATGACATCCAAATAGGTAGTTCAGTCATCCCCAACGTGGCTGCCGTCAGGGGGTCTGCCATTGGTTTTTTGGTGCCCGTTTGTTTTCATCCCCAAAGCCAGTCCTAGCTTTCTTCTAGCTCACTGGTAAAGGAGATGCTTCAGAAAAACTCAGAAGGCATCACATTTATGTCTGCAGGAGCACCCATTCGGAAATGACTTATCATAGAAGGGTGTTTGTATTTTGTGACTGACCCCAGGTTCCCAGGGCAGCCATTTAGTGGTGATACCTACTTCTCATTCTCCACATTCTAAAAGTGCTCATAGGCTTGAGAGTATTGGGCTTCCCTGCCAAGTTCCTTTCCCCCAGTGGTCTTGCAGAAAACCTTCACATTTATTTATTTAAATTCATTTGTACCCTGCTTTTCTTTCCAGTGGGGACCAATGCTCCCTCTAAGCTGTGGAGTCTTGTGAGCAACAATTCTACTTCATGAGCTACTGGCATTAAAGTTGTGAGCGAGCGATTTGGCTGCTGCATAAATTAGTTTGCTCTGGAGTCATCCTTCCTCAGCTAAGACAACAATGTGTGAGCCAGAGGCTAAAAAACTGTGAGCTAGCTCACACTAACTCAGTTTAAAGAGAACACTGGTGGGGCCCCAAGAGTCTTACATCATTTTCCTCTCCTCCATTTTATCTTCACAGAAACCCTGTGAGGTAGGTTAGGCTGAGCAAGTGTGACTGGCCCAAGGTCACCCAGTAAGTTTCCATGACACAAGTGGGGATCTGGATCTTGCAGATGTTCGTCTGAAACTCCTAACCACCGCATTGGCTGTCTCTCATGTTGTCATACAATAACGGAGACAGCTGGACTCTATCTTTTGGCATTCATTCCAAGTCTCTGGTAAAGGAATTTATGAAAATACAATATTTCAATTTGGATTGTTGATCTTTTAAAAGTATAGCACAAAACTCAAGGTTTACCCAGGTAAAAGTTTGCCATTATTTTCATGATTGCCTGACTGTTATAGCTAAATATTTTTTGCCACCAGAGGGTAGCATATGACTACAAATTATAAAAGCTGAAGTCCACTAAATTGCCCAATGGAATTTCCTGATCGTTGTTTTCAGCTCAGGAAACAAAGTATGACTGCAACATTTAAGGGAAAAGGCAAATATTTTTAGGCTCTTTGCCTTGTAGGAAGCAGAAACCATTAGGCCAAACAAACAAAAAACTAACGCTGTGCACGTTTTCCTGCACACAGCTCAGAAATTGATGTATTTATGTGCAACTGCCCTGTCTTGTTTATTGGTAGATTAACATCTGTCTTGAAAGCCCAATACATTTTAAACAAAAAGTGATATGGGACAGGTTGACAGCTTTGCCTTATGAACTGAAATAAGAGACTTTTGGTCCCTTCTGACTTTGTGGTTCAGCTTCTTTAAGGCCTTCACGGCTGATACCGTACTCTTACAACAAGGACTTTTTACTATGCTACATATACTTACATTCTGACACCACATCATCAGTTATTTTGGATGGGTGGGATCCAAGTGATCCAAAGATCACAATTTGAGTGTGGACTATGGAGCAGAGCTGCCAGATCTCCCCCCCCCCCAGCCACCGGCAGGGGATGGGGTAGGGTTGCCAAGTCCTGCAAACTCACCGGCGGGGGAGGCTCCGACGGGTCCGGGAGCCAGCTCCGGATGTGTGCGCACGCCGCCAGCACATCAATGGAAGTGACATGCGACATCGCTCACGTCGGGGGCGTGGCCCAGATCGTCGGGGGGGAACCATATGGTTCCTCTGGTGATGCAGCTTTGGGGGGCGGAGTTCCCCCGAGGCCTGATTCCGCTGTGACGGAAATCGGGCCTCCAAAGCGGGGTTTTCCCCGCCCCCACTTGGCAGCTCTAGGATGGGGGGGTAGAGTTTCCAGGTTGGGAAACTCTTGGGAATTTGTGGATGCAGCGTGGGGAGGACAGGGACCTCAGTGGGGTGCAATGTCATAGAGTCCACCCTCCAAAGCTGCCATTTTCTCCAGGGGAACTGATCTCTGTAGACTGGAGATGAGCTGTGATTCCAGGGGATCCCCAGGTCCCACCTCAAGGCTGGCATC